AACCAATGGTTCAAAATCTGAAGGTGGTGGTGGCAAGTTAGGTACATTTTTTGATTGTTTGCGGCCCTTCTTACTACCGCTTTCAACAGCCTCGTCTTCTTCTTCATCGTCTGACCCCGGGTGGTTTGAAAAACGTTGTCGGGACGTCAGAACCGGTATGTACTCTTCGTCCTCACTGTCAGAAAATACCTCAGTATCTTCTTCAGGTGGGGTAAATGTGAGGATGAACTCGCCTTTGGCATAGTTGTAAATTTTTTTTTGATTTTTTTTTTCTTTTTTTGATTTTAATTGATAGCGATCAAAAGATAATTGCTGCACTACTAACACGTAATTATGATATTATGTACTACCATAACGTGATATGAAATCATGAATTGATCTGCAAAATGGCAAACTTTAATTCAAGCTTAGGAAAGGGGGTACAATTGCTTAGAAAAATCAAGCACAATTGCACAAAATCAAAAAAAAAAGATTTTAGCGGCCAAATTTGGCTGCTAGACGGTTTAAGGGATAACTATTTTTTTGTCAAAATTACAGGGATACAATTTTTTGTAGGTGTGCTAATGAGGATTTATTTCATGATAATTTTGATTTATTATTTCACAAAAAAATCATTATGCATAATTACTTTTTTTTATATGTTTTGTGCTTATAGTGGGTGTAAGATCTTATACTATATATGTGAGTGAATTTAACTACGTAGCAATGAAACCTGTCATCATATTAAAACTTATTAGAAAATAACTAATTTTAGTGATATAAATTACCTCTAATTTTTTAGGATCAAGGTGCAATTTTAATATATATGAAATAGAGGTTTATATAACATAATAAAAATTTGATATAAAGATCCAAATTTTAATTACTTAATATGTTTTTAAAATATAGCACCCCAGGTGATTTAACCAGGGGAAAAGTTAGCAATATCCTTTTTATTACTATTATTTTTTTTCTTAGCAATTGCTTTATCAATTTTTTCTTATTTATATTTTATTTATTATTTTTTGATAACTTTTGTGGTTTTTCACGTTTCTTTGGACAGGCTTCTTTTTCATTATCGTTATCTTGAACAATGTTTGTTGGCTCCGATACCAGGTTTTTAGGTTGTTTATGTTTTTTGGGATGCTGACTTCTCCTGTAAGTGGCGACCATCGATACCGTTGGAAAATATTTGTTACATTTTATACAACAAAGTCATGCATAATTGTCTTTGCCGATTGAGGGACAATCGGTATCATAGCCTGGTATCTTATCTTTGTTGAAAAATTTCAACAAATGTGTGAAATTGACATAGTATCCATATATGCCCATTATTATTAGAGGGAGAAACCCATCATTTTCCTTGAGAAAATTAGCGACGTCTTTGCACCGCATTAGTAGACAACACAAAATATTTTTACATTTTTTTAGATCTAAAGAATAATTGCATATTTTAGCATGAACTTCTAGCCACTCCCAGGACACACTAGTTTTATTATTGGATTTTGAAAACTTGATGAAGAATGGGGAGCTGTTGGTTTTAACATAATCCGCTATGACCAGTTTTTCAAATAATGTGTCCTATTTCCAAAGATTATACAACAACTCCTCTGTATATCTAAAATTTTTTTTTGCAAGTTTCTCATCAATAACTTGGCCTTGGGAGTTTAAGTGGGAGCTATAGGTATCCATGGGCAACACTATACTCACAAGTTTTTGGGATAATAATGCCATACCCCATTCTACAGAGTTATATTTAGATTGACCTGGAATAATGATAGTCAGACCAGAGTTCAAGAGTGTATTTAGAGAAATTATGCATATAAAGAGAGTGCATTTATGAGAGATTTTATTAATTATTTTATGATATAAGAAGTTTTCAGATCTCTCTAATTGCACCGTTAGGAATCAAACTTTTACAACAATAAGAAAAATTGAGGCTAAGTATATAGTTTGACCAAAATTCAAGTGTGCATTTAGAGAGATTATATATACTGTCGGCTCTCCCCAAACCGATCCTGTTAAAACTAAAAATCGATACACTGGGTCTGTTCCTTAATTCATATTTGATAACCTGCTATTTCTGATATCCAATAGTCCAAATGCATAAGTTCCTGATTCATCAGACATGGACACATAATTACCGACCAATCAGAATCGTGAATTCAAAAAAGCGAGATCTTCTAATTAATACAGTAATACGTATCGGTATCCTTTTTTTTGTTTTATTATTTTATTTTATTTTAATTTATTTTTTATTTATTAAAATCTATACCATACTGAACTAAAATATTAAATTTTTTTATACCACATCTGAACTCTTTTTTACTAGCCAAAACTATATGTATATTTCTATATAACAAACTATCATGTGACTCATAACAGTTAAAGAGTTTAATGTTGAATAAAGTTTATACTTATTTTCGAGTTAAAGCAATTTTTAGTTGATCACCAATAGTTGCTACATAGTAAAGTCCAAATTTTTCTATGTAAATTGATTAAAATTACTTAAATAAAGTTGTTCAGGAGGTCAAAATACACTTACTCTAAAATTTTGACTTTTAATTTTTATATTCAATAAATATGTTTTTTTAAAGAAATTTTAATTTTTTCATTGAACATAAAAATAAAAAATTAATTAATAAAAAGTTCTTTAATTTGGATAAAAATTTCAGTGTAGGTGTATTTTAACCTTCCAAACAACTTTTCTTAAGCGATTTTAATCAATTAGTATAGTAAAATTTAGATTTTACTATGTAGTAATTATTATCGATCGTGGCACATACAGTATTACATATAAAAAAAAATTTTGTATTATTGATCACGTGCTATGGGTTTTACCGCACATAATCTTGGTTCTGTAATTTGATTGGTAGATTAGTGATTGGCTTGTCACGTGATTTTTTCAAATCTGATAACCTTTCAAAGCCGATACAAAACCTGTCCACCATGCATACTGGTTTGGGGAGGGCTGACAGTAACTTTTTTAAATTAGCAATTAGGTTGGTAAATTCTTCCACTAAAGAATCTTATTATTGTTCAGTTCTTTAATCTTGGTCCTAACTTCCAAATTTGGGTCTTTTCTGTAATACTATCAATGATTGTAGTTATTTCTTTACTTGGATCTTCTCAAATAGGTTTTGATTATTTCAGTTTTTTGGTATTTATATACCAAGACTTCTATACTAGATGATACAACCAAGATTACAGATTCTAGATCCAACTAATCAATAGATAATTGGTACTATAATATAGGCTTATTTTTCAAAAATATTATTTATAGAATTCAAACTTTAGATCTGCTACTTAGTTGAATAATAACTAAACCACTTCACTAAGCTACTATATCCTTATATTTTAATCTTTTAATTAATTAATAAATATATATTTTTTTAAAAAAAATTTAGCAACATACTAATACTTTATTAGAAATATATTAATTTATTTTTCTTTATTTTATTATATATAATTTATTAAACTAACAAGTTTGATTTTTATTTAATTTACAAATATTAACTAATTTGACTTTTTATAACAAATATCTAAATTATCTATATTTGATTTGCTATAGTAAATTTTTTTTATACTAATTAGAGAGCTTTCAGAAATTATATAATTAAAAAGTAGGTAGATGAGTTGGCTAAAGATCAGGTTATAATTCTGGCCAAAATATATAATTATAGTTAAAATTATAAAAATTTTTTTTAAATTTAATAATAAAATATAGCAATAAATAATTTTTGATTTATCAGACCAATTTGAATAATTTAACTATTAAAATAATCCTCTCAATAAAAGCTTTCTAACAAGTCTAAAAACATTAAAATCTAATTACTAAGTCTAACGATTAGAATAGAACTATATTTTTATATACAATGCAAAATACCTAAAAGCAACTCTAAATTTGAATATTTTCAAAATGTAATTAAAAATATACAGATATGTTACAAAAAAAAGAGGATTGCTATTTTGTAGCCAAACCTGTTTACTACAAAATAGCAGCTTTTTTTTAAAAATACAATTACTTGTTATTAAGATATATCTAGTTAAAAAAATAGTATTTTCATATGATCAACAGAAAATAAAACAGACAAAATTATCTAATCAAATTATATTTTATATTTGATTAGCTAATAAATGATCACATTTTTTATTAATTGAGTAGAATAAGATACAACTATAAAAAAAGGAAAAGTTCAAATATGGGTACTAGATTGGGAAATGAATCTTATAAAGGCAAAAGCAATTAAATAGATAAAAGCACAACTACAAATAAAGGCTTTGGCAACTATGCAAAACCAAATTAGCCCAAATAGAATAGAAAAAGTTCTGATAAGTTTACCTCAAAAATAGCTATGCATCAGGAAATTTTTTTGGTAATATATATCAATTACAATCCTCTAGATTATTATTAATATATATTACCCCTACTGAATATAAACGTTAGTAATATATAACAATATATAGTGTTACAAGTGACTATAGCTTTCTTGTAAATATAGTACTTGCAACACAGCACATAGTGACAGGGATCTTGGAAACAACAGAGAGAGATATGAAGCAGTGTAGAAGTGGAATATTACTTCACACAGGCAGTTTAGTATAGTTTATTTATAGTTTATTTAGAGGAAAAAAGGTATATATTTATTAATAATATAATATTTAAGATACAAGGCTATCAATAGGTATCTATGCCTAAAGAATCCTAATAACTAAAGATTGTAGCAAACTAATCCTAAAGCTACAGGAGGACAGAAAGCTAGAGTTTATA